ATGCTCCTGGGAGCATTGACTCAAAGAATAAATTCATGCAGGGCTGCATATTACACAGATGTGCAGCAGCCCCCAATTTTGCTACTCTTCTTTGGGTGTGGAAGTCAATGTGATTTGGCAAGATTTTTTTTTTTCTTTGGGGGGGGGGGAACTGTAAGAAAGTTAATGGACTTTAAAATAACACAGAGATTTTCTAATGCTAGATTAGGGATTTGTATAAGGAAAGATTTGTGCTTTAAAGTGCTGGAGTTCTAAAGGAATCTGTAAATGGAGCCATAACTTTTTATAAATTCGCAGGGTTCTAAGAATTTTAATACTTGCAGGAAGGTGTCATATGCCATATGTCATGAAGAGGGTGCCAGCTGGCCAAGGGACCCAATGGTGACCATTTCTCTGAGGTGGTATGTCCCTCTGCCATTTGAAGTTAATTTTCCCATAAGGATATTTCTGTGGGTAGCAGGGATTAACTATATTTAGGAATTCTGACTCATAAACAGATCTTAACTTACAGGAAACTCATTTCTGTGTTCTAGAATACAGTCAGGAGTCATATGTAGGGGACAACACATTTGGTTTTGGTAAAGTTCAAAGCTATGATTTTTATTCCTTCAGTTTCTGCGTTTATTCTTTTTTCTTTTACCAAGTTCTCCTGTGTCTCAGAATGGGGAAACAGGCCCCAAGAATGAAAAGAGTTCTGCAAAACATGGTAGCACTAGTTAAAAGTTCATTGCTAGTCCTGCCTGCAAAACTATGACCTGACTCAGGTACAGTAGATCTGTGAGTTCTTTTCACTTTTGTGCCTGAAGATTTCCCAACTGTCACCACTGGAAAATGATGGTCATTTTATTTATTAAAAAAAAAAAAAAAGAATGAATAAAGCAGCAGCCCAAACCATCACACAAACACGAACACAGTGCTTTGCTGAATGTTTCTTAGAGCAATTCAGAATCAATAGTGTCCCTTCTGCTCTGAGCCCCTCCCCATTCCCAATCCCATTCTTCAAAAGACCTTTTATGAGTTGAGACAAAACAGATTAATGTTTAATTCAAAAAAGGAGACCCCCCACCAGGAGAAAGATGAAGACCTTCACATAAAACTAATTACTAAATTATCTCTTTGGGGATTACAGGGGTTTTATCACTATGATAATAAATGCTTTTTAATGGAATTGTCTTTTAATGTTGTATAAATCATAATTAGAGAGCAGCAGGAAACAAGGATACAGAGAGGGCAAGAGGGACCTGCTCTGTGTTAAGTGGGAAGGGAACCAGCGGAGTTAGGGAGGACCGATGTAAAGCCTGCAGCTTGCTAATGTGGAGGGAAATAAAAGGGTGGGATTGACTTACCAGAAAGGAGCAGAGGAAGATGAAAGAGACAAAGTAAAAATAGGCAAAGTCACTTCCACATTCATCTTTGGTGAGGCCAGATCGTGGATCACAGGCTCTGTTACTGAGGCATGACAACATGATCTCATGCCAGCCTTCCCCTGTAGCACTCCTGCAAGTGGGGACAAAATTACAGCGGAAGGGTGAGTGAGTAGTTTTGACCCCAGGAGAATACACAATCAAAGCTAATCAGACCACTGAGTGCCTTTTCACTGGGTAGCGTGTCAAAGCAACAGTGCAGACCCTCTCTAACCACTTAAGTTCTAGTTTGAATAGTGTTATCAGATTCTGTTACAAACTAACTCCTCTGTCTATTGCCTGCTTGTGTACAGGAGTAAAAATATGCATTACTACTTCATAAAGTTCCTTTAAGCTTGCCTAGGTAACCACATTCCTTGTTTGCAAGGTATACCATCAGACAGCTAAATCCCTTTTTCTGTAATTCAGTGGTTCTCAACCTATTTAAACTCCAGGCTCCCCTGGTCAGACTCAAGGCATGGAGCATCAGGGGGCTTATTGAACATGTATCAAATACTTGTAATTCTTTGATGGAAGGCTCTGTAGAAGGGAATAGTGTCAACATGAATTAGGAGTCTCTACTGGTATGGACTGTATCTGCTTCATTGGCAACTTTGGAAAAGGAAAGAAAAGGAAAACTTGCTTTCATGTCATTGGGAATCAAAATAAACCTAACAGGCTCAGACAGGATAAACTTATTCTGTTTCTGGGAAGTGAGACCAATTCATTTAAATAAGTCATGTACAAAGGACAAATGTAATCAAACAAGTAAAAAAAAAATCCCAAACAGCTCTGCCTTGATGGTAGCTGGAAACCCAATGGAGAGGAAGTGAAACAAAAGTAGACTCTTCTATCTCAATCCATCATTTCAAGCAGATGCAAAAGCATCTGAATGCTGTGGTTGATTACTCTGACACAGATACATTTTTTATGACAGTCTCCTGGGTTGTTCTTTAATCTGTTCCCACCTCCTCTCCCTCTTCTCATTTTACACATGACAGCAGTTCCTGCAGTAAGATGCAAGAATAAGTTTATATGTTCCCAGAGTGAATCCCAACTGCCATGTTTGATCCTAGGGGGACAAATCTAAAAGAAGCCTAAACATGTAAGGGACAACATAAACCCACACGTGCACACATACATGCATATAAACACAAGCATACAAGCACACTGAGTTCCAGAAGGATTCAGTTAATGTGCTTTTGCTCTTAGTGCAGTCACTGCCCGTCTCCTCTGAACCTTCTTTTATAAAATGAATGAGATTCTGAAACTTTGTAATTCACAGATTCATGGGTTTTAAAGCCAGATGGGGCCATTGTTATTATCTACTCTGCCTTCTTGCCTAACACAGGCCAGAAATCTTTGTTCAATAATTTCTGTATCAGGCCCATAACTTATGGAAGGGGCTTAAGTCTCAGTTGCCTCTACCTCTTGTATAAGTGTCTTCACCCATGGAAAGTGACTGTGAAGTATTCATAAAATGTTGCTAGTACCATGACTTAAGCTCACTGGAAAAGTCTGAACATCTTTGCTCTTTGATTTCTTTTTCCACTTAGGTTTTACAAATTCTAATAAATATCAATGAAGGGGGAAAGTAATGGATAAAGGTGCCTGAGCGTTGATGTATTCTCTTTATCCACGGAAAACTTCCAACTCAGTGCTCCACTCATGTCTTGGTCTTAACTCTAAAGCGGTTTTGGGACCTAAATGCAAATTAGATCAGCCTTGAGGTTCTTGTAAGTTATGTGAGATACAACCCTTGGTGATCACCAGACAAAGGCTCCCTTTTCTTTACTACTCAGAATTCACCGTATGCTGGAAGGATCCTCAAGTAGCTGGTTAAACTGGCTCTGTAACCTTCTGCAGTGTTGCTGCAGTGAAAAGTGGGCTATATCATGAACCATGAACCAGAACTTGGACAAAAAGGTCCAGGAACAAGACTGAAAAAGCTGATTTTGTCAAGATGAAAGGATTAATTTCAATTTATTATTTTCAACTGCATGAGTGAACTGGAGAAAGCTAATTTCATTATCTGGCTGCGTAGAAATTACGCTAATCAACCCCCCCAATAGACTATTTAGTTACAAGCATGACATCATTACAATATAATTTCACTTGTTGACTGTAGCCATGACACTGGTGCTAGAAGTACTGTTATGTAAATACTAACCATTTTGTGTGCACATAGCTCGACTCTGGAGCATTTTTTGTTTATTTTGTTAGATCCATGAAAATGGCTTCCTGGTTGGTGGGAAAGAATGCTATATTTCACTAACTTTTCTCCTTAAAACATGCTGCTTTTCAAATGAAACTGAGCCTATATAAGAATAGACACATTCTGAACAAGGTATAGCTTTGAAAGGTTAAAATTTAAGTCAGTCATGGTGCAAACATAACATAAAAGCAAAATTTAAGAATTATGAATACAGCTGGAAGGAAACAGAAACAATTTGCTTTCAAAGTTTGGCAGATATATTTCTAGTAGAACTGCCCAGGAATAAAAAGAGCAGAAAGTGGAAGTTTTGAAAGTTGCATGCTCTACCGAACTGAGAATACAGCAGCTTAATTATCAGTACTGAAAACCTAAACCTTTTTATTTTGCATTTTATTTACCTGAACAGTAGCATCAGGGCTTGCAAGAATGTTCTGAAGTTATTGTGTCGATTAATTGAGGAATCATCATCTAGTGCAATGTTTCCAAATACCTGAAAAAGAAAACAAAAGCAATTAAGGCCATTTACAGGCTGGAGTAAGTTTCCATAGGAATCTCTGAGCCAGAGTCAATAATGATGTAAGCCATGAGAAATACGACAAACTGGTGTAACTGGTCATAAAGCTGATGTGGCCAAGGGGGATCCAGTTAACATAATATATTTGGACTTTCAAAAAGCTTTTGACAAGGTCCTTCACCAAAGGCTTAAAAAAAAAAAGGAAAAAAATTGGTGCTGCAGGATTGGAGGGAAGGTTTGTTCATGGACTGATTAAAAGGTAGGAAGCAACGGGTGAGGCTAAATGATCACTTTTGAGGCTGGAGGGAGGTCAAATGTGGTGTTCCACAGGGATCTGTGTTGGGCCTAATTTTGTTCAACAGTTTCATCAGTGACTGGGAAATAAGGGCACATAATGAAATCTCCAAGTTTGCAGATGATACCAAATTATTTTGGGTAGTCCAATCCCAACCTGATGGAGAGAAGCAGCAGAAAGTCCTCACCAACCGAAGTGAGTGAGCAAAAAAAAAATGGCAGATGAATTTCAGTGTTGACAAGAACAAGGTAAAGCACCTAGGAAAAAAATACCTCAACTATATGTTGGGGTCTGAATTAGCTGTCACAACTCAGAAAAGAGTCCCTAGAGTCATTGTAGATAGCTCTCTAAAAACATGAGCACAATGTGCAGAGGCAACCAAAAAAAAGCCATTAAATGTTGGGCATCATTAAGAAGGGAATAGAAAACAAAACAGAGATCATCATCATGTCATTTTACAAATCCATGGCACCTCCATCTCAAATACATTGTGCAGTTCTGGTCTCCACGTTTCAAAAAGGATGTAGTAAATTAGAAAAATACAAAAATGATCAGGGGTATGGAGAAGTTGCCATGCTAGAAGACAGTAAAAATCCTAGGACTCTTTAGTTTAGAAAGGAGAAGGCTGAGGGGAAATATAATAGAGGTCTATAAAATCATGAAGGGTGTGGACCAAACGAACAGGAAACTGTTGTTCACCAAGTCTCGGAATACTAGAAGTAGGGACACCCACTGAAATTAGCAGGAGACAGGTTTAAAACTAACAAGAGAAAGTACTTTTTATGCAATACGTAGTTAACATGTGGAATCCACTGCCACTGGAGGTGGTAAATGCAGATTGTCTAGTCCCTTTTTGAACCTGGCTATGCTAATACAGTCTATTAATAGCTATTGAATGGAATGATTGGAAATGTTTCCCCTGGCATCTATAAATGAATAATGGTGGCTGCCAAGGAGGGTACTGAATGAATAGGCGATAGATCACTCTAAATCTATCCAGTTCAGTGTTCTCCCTCTAGCATCCACTTCTGCCAATGTCAGAGATGGGCGACTGGGCTAGATGGACCATTAATCTGACCCAGTATGGCACTTCTTACATTCTTATGTTACCGAGACAGAGTGATACTGTAACTTGCAAAATGCAAGATATGCAAAATAGGAGTAACTTGTGGGGAGGAAGAGGCAGAAGGTGGTGTGAAAGAAAAAATGATCAAACATGAGAATACAGGACAGCCTGCTTCGCTGATATCCAGACCACCTCCACTACCACAGACAGGTGTGACCTTCACTGATTGCAAAAAGAGTTACAGCTGCTCATGCCCAGGCTAAGGTTAGTCCCCAAGAAATGAGAGAGATGCAAGTAACACTCATTTAGCATGCCCAGCGTGAATTTATTGGTATATCTGTCTTCTGTCGGCACAAGATGTGGGGGTGGGGATAGAAAGGTGGCATTTTGCCTTCTTGGCACCTCTTCTACTCTGGAAATGAGTTAATGAAAAAAACTCCTCCCCCCAAACTAAAACACCCAGCAGAGGTTCACTGCAGTAAGACGGCTTTCCCGGTATCTAATCCGATTTGTTCTGCATAGCAAATCCTGTGTTCTCATGTTCAAGACTGAAGGCCAAACTTTACCTGCATGCCAATAATGGCATAGATGAAGAAGAGCATCGCAATGAGGAGACACACATAAGGCAATGCCTGTAGAAAAAGCAGCAAGGTTCATATTAATGACAGCAAGAGCATGTATTGAGAAACAGTATTAATTCTGAGGTACCGCAGCTGAACAAGGTAAGGAGAGACCAGGCCTAAGGCAGCAGTAAGGAAGCTTGATGGACAGTCAGAGAAGCACTTGTAAAAGTAACCTTGAGAAGAGCTATGAGAATGAGCTTCTGTGTAGAGGGCTGACTGGAAAGAGGCTTGTAACAGTGAACAACAAAACTGTCTTCTGCGGTTTGGTTGTTACTGGAACAAAGCAAACGACATTTTATGAACATGCTTTATAAATAAGCAGGAGTGCACTAAAGAAGTACCTGACTCCATCATTGAAGTACCTGACTCCATCATCAATTTCTCTTCCATAAAGATGCAACCTAGAAACGGCGTAAATCAACTAACCACTTGGGCCAAATGACAGCAATAATTACCTGCCACAGAGTGGAACTGGGAGGCTGTATTCATTAATAGCTTCAAGTCTTGCTGAGACACTCAGATGCTCACATTATTAGCAGCACGCTGTATTATTAGGCGGCAGTATACATACTGGTTTATTCTGTAGCTCACACTACATTTTGCGTACGGTTCTATTTTAAGTCAGATGCAGCTCTTACTTACAGACTCTCTCTCTCTCTCAACCCCTCAATATTTTTGGATCACTTTACTTTGTCTTGCATCATTACAGCTGCTATTAATGATCTTGCAGTTATCCAGCTCTCTGGAAAACCCACATACAGTGTTTAACTCAAGAAACTCTGATTCTCAGGGTCAGGCCCCACCTGACTCATCCAGGATTATGCAGTCTGTGATAGAACGAGAACCATGACCTTTGATCCGCACTTGTGTACTTTCCTTAAAAGAACATCCCTGCTACCTTTCTGTGGGCACTGGTTTCTTTTTGGTGAGGCACAGTCTGAGTCTGGGAAATACTGGTAATTCCTTGTTACTTTTCTGCTGCCTAATGAAGCAATGATAGGATTACAATGATCTCCCCCAACTCCTGAACTGAATCCTTAAGAAAAGGGCAATCAAACAGCTGTCACAGGGTGTTTATTTATTTATTTATAGTCATAAGAAAGGTCCCTTTAGTTACACAGTTTGACAGCTGGGTGAAAATGTGACATTTAAGAGTGTACTGGAAAGCACAGGCTGCCTGCCCATAAGTCTTTCCAAGGACACTAAGTGCAATGCACCTATAATGAGCTTCCCAAGTCTCAGCTCTCCAGATAACAGCATGCATGTGATACTGCTGCCCTCCTCTTCCCACACACCAAGAAGCACCGTCACATTACCACCATTCTCTGTATTCTGAAGGCTCTGATGCCTCCATGCCTAACTCAAGATCTTATTACCTAATTGCCCCGCTTTTGAAACCTACATGCTCTTGCTTCAACTTTCCTGCAGCCGTCCTCTCTCTGCTCCTCCTGTTCTCAATGTCTCTGAGCCATCTAACAATGCTCTTAGCTGTGACTCTTACGCTGCTGTGGCACATTTAAAGTAAGAGACTTCTCTGAAGCTTCTGCTGTTTGGCACCGTCTCCTGCATCATCCTACCGCTTTGCACATGACAGTCCCAGCCTCATATGGAAAACATGCTCATGTGTTTTGAGCTCTCTTCCTCTCTGCTCTTATAGCTGAATGATTGCTTAAGGCATTTTGGAGGGCAGTTTGTACAAAAGGAACCTATACAAAATAAAATTGTATTATACTGATCTATAACCAAAAACATCAGAGTTCACAGGACAGCTCCCAAAACACAGCCTCCCATCTAAAGATCTAAAGAGGCAAAAACCAGACCTCAGCCTACGGAGAAATGATACACACATTTGAAAACCTAACATATGGTACACAGACTCACAGATCATCACACGTATTGATGCAACCCAGATCACAGATCTGGTCCATAGTGAAAGAGATACAGCTGGCCGTATGTGGATGTGAGCTTTTGAGTAGTTCTGCCGATAACTCCCTGTGTAGCCTTCAGCAAGGCCCCTGAACTCTTTTTGTCTCATTTTCCCCACTGTAAAATGGGTCTAATGAGTCTTGCTCTCCTTTGCAAAGCAATCTGAGCTCACTGGACGTAAGGAAAACCTATGCTTTTTGAGGCAGGGCTTGCTTTTCTGTTATGTGTTTATACAGAGCCTGGCATAAAAGTGAGGGAGCTTTTAGCACTAATACAATATCATTTGTCAATAAGTACTAAATATTAATGCAGATGTGCTTATGACTACACAGATGTATCCTGATAGAGTTTGAAAGAAAATGGCAATCAGTGTTAATGATATCTCTTATTCAGAATGATAATAATAATAACACCCCCCTACAAAGATGGTACCATTTTCTAAATGCTATAAGCTTTCAAGTAAAGTTCCCTCTTTTCTCTTTTCTTCCCCACTTCCCTGTCCACCACTCTTCTCCAAATAAATTTATGGGGCTTTTTCAAAGGAAGTTTTCATGAAATCAGAGCAGCCAACTGGAATTTTGCAATCCTGTGTTATGCTGCTTTGTCTGCAATTCATTCTCTTTGTAGCTGATTTTGTAAGGTATTGGGCACCTGCAACATCCACTAATTTTACTGTATTCTAGGAGTGTTCATTACTTTTGAAAGACCTGGTTATAGATGATATGCTCATATAAATTATCCTTTCCATAAAATGGGTACCTCAAACCATTCTTTACAAGCTTCCAGGCACAAGCACCCTTCTTCAGGCATAGGGAGAGTCTGTTGTTGTTTTGCGTTCTCCTGCAATATGCAAAATGCAGGTCTGTGAAAATACAAATGCATGGCAGTGAGGATCAGGGGCAATGCGAGACAATAGGTGTGAAACAGGTTGGGGGTAGAGGGAAAAGGGAGGAATGTAGACCTGGTGATAGAATGTACCTGACAAAATGTAGAGAGGTTACCTGGGGTTAATTGGATAACAGGCAGGTTGTAATGGGTGCATCTGCACTTCGCCCTATAGTGATGTAATGATGCGCTACGTCACTGTATGGTGCGATAAGGCAACATAGCGACTGTGTGTCTATACATGACTGCCAGCTACGTCACAGCAGCAACGTGCTCCTTGGCTAGAGTCCACTGCTTCAGCGACTTTTGGAAGTACTCAAGCATGGTGCTGTAGCAGTGTCACCATGCGGTGATGTGTAGAGGCACCTTATGTGCCATAAATCCAATATCTTGATTTAGTCCACGATTTTTTTTATCTAGTAGATTTAGGAAGTGAAGTTTGTAGGCTTGTCCATGAAAGGTGTTTTCTAAATTCCCTTTGAGGATTACAGCTGAGAGACTGGAGAAAGAGTAGCCGTCGTGTGAGACGTTCTCCCACAGGTAATTGGGTATTTTTGTCTTTGATAGATTTTCGGTGTGCATTCATTCAGGTGCACAATTGTTGTTTGGTTTCTCCTACGTATTTTTCATCAGGGCAGTTAGCGCACTGGATGAGATGTATTCAATTTCTGGAGCTGCAGGTATAAGATCCAGGGATGCTGATGGTTCTGTTGTGGGGTATAGTTATTGTGGGAGTGGTGGAGATGTGTTGGCAGGTTTTATATTTCTTGTCCCAGCATGGTCTGGATCCATTCAGTGTGCTTTGGTCCAAAGGACGTTTGCTTCTGGCGATGAGGTTAGCAAGGTTCGATGCTTGTTTGAAGGCTAGGATGGGTTCTGGGAAGACCACTTTAAGAATGGGTCTTCTTCTAGTATGGGTTGCAACTGTTTGAGGATTTTCCATATAGGGTCCCAGGAGGGATGATATGTCATAACTAGTGATCCATGATTTGTGGGCATTTTCTTTTTGTACTGCAGCAATTCTTTGCGTGGTAGCCAGGGGATGAGGGGTAGGGGGCGTGTCTTTCAAAAGTGTGATCTATCTCTCTGGAAGAGTGTCCTTGTCAAGTGAAAGTCCTTTTGAGATTGTGAGATTATAGACATTGGATCTATGGCACATTAGAACCAGCCTGCCATCCAGTAACCCCAGGTAACCTCTCTACACTCTATCTCCACGTCTACATTCCCACCTTCCCCCCCACACACCTATCATCTGTCCCACACCTAATGTCTCCCATGGCCTCTGATCCTTACTGCCATGCCTTCGCATTTTCACAGACCTGTATTTTGCATACTGGCTTCTATTCGTGGGCGACTGGTGCCACCTCAGTCGGGAGGGGGGGGCACATGCCTCCCTGGCAACCAGTCAGTGACTGGGGTGGGGGGGGTCCCCCTGTGGGTGATCACGCCAACTGGGGGGGAAGTCCCTTCGTACCCAATCTCAATGACTGGGAAGCAGCCACAGCACTCCCGGAAGTGGCCTCAGTGCTTCATCCGGCGCTCCCACTCCCTGGCCAGTGCTCTCGGGGGGGGGGGGGGGGGGGGGTACTGGGGCTCCGGCCTGCCCCCCCTGCCCCTCCCCCA